GAGAGAGAGAGAGAGAGAGAGAGAGAGAGAGAGAGAGAGAGAGAGAGAGAGAGAGAGAGTTTCTGTCTGGATATACATATATATATATATATATATATATATATAGCCTCGAGGTGGAGCTCTCACCTCACAATCAGGAGGCTGTCGATTCTAGATAGAGGCAGATATTTCTTTTCCTCTGCACAATGAGAATATATCTGCTGAACAAAACTCCTCATTGGCAACAGGAAGAGCATCCAGCCAATAAACACTCAGATCCATTCAGTTTCCCTGACTCCATCCCTATGCAAAGGATTACGGGGTCATTTTCTACCACAGCAGACTGTGTGTGGAAAGCTTAAGAGAATGAATGGAGTAGTAGTGGGATTCAAATAATTTAACAACCGGTTCTCTGCCCTAATGATTTCTTCCAGCAACCAATTCACCCAACTGCTCAGGAAGTTTACCACCGGTTCTCCCAAAGTGCTGCAAACTAGTTGAATCCCACCACTGGTACAGAGGAATTTAAAGATAGACTGCCCGTGTTTTAATGGCAATCCAGAAGTGATGGGGGTAATTAAAAGGCTGTTGCACCATTAGCCTGACTCTGATATCTTCCTTTCCGCCCCACCCCAGCCATCAATTTCCTGATCGAAACTGGGACGCTGATGCATTTCCCAGACACAAGCCATGGGCTGAGGAACCTCTACTTCCTTGACCCCGTGTGGTTGTCTGAATGCCTGCAAAGAATATTCAATATCAAAAGCTCCAAGTCAATTGCCAAGAACGGTGTGATCAAATCCGAGGACCTCCGGATGCTGATGGTCGGGACAGGGTTCACCAAGGAAACCGAAGAGCAGTATTTCCAATTCCTTGCCAAGTTTGAAATTGCATTACCGATAGCAAACAACAGGTACACTGGTAATTGTCGTCAGAATGGAATGACTGGGATTAAGGGAACCAGAAAGGTCTTGAAACGAAGTCACTCCGGATTCCCTTCTTTTCCTCCTCCTATGATGTGGTTAGAGGGACGTGGTGGCTCAGTGGCTAAGACACTGAGCTTGTCGATCGGAAAGGTTGGCGGTTCGGCGGTTCGAATCCCTAGTGCCGCATAACGGAGTGAGCTCTCGTTACTTGTCCCAGCTTCTGCCAACCTAGCAGTTCGAAAGCATGTAAAAATGCAAGTAGAAAAATAGGGGCCATCTTTAGTGGGAAGATAAGAGTGTTCCGTGCACCTTTGGCGTTTAGTCATGCCGGCCACATGACCACGGAGACGTCTTCGGACAGCACTGGCTCTTCGGCTTTGAAACGGAGATGAGCAACACCCCCTAGAGTCGGGAACGACTAGCACATGTGTGCGAGGGGAGCCTTTACCTTTACCTACGATGTGGTTATTTGCAGAGACCCACCAGGCTCAGAAAGCACAAAAAGCCTTGTGCGAATCCAGTGTATAGATAGTCCTTGACTTATGGCCGCACCTGAGCCCAAAATCTCTGTTGATAAAAGAGACAAGTGTTAGGGGAACTTGCCCCGCTTTATGATCTTTATTGCCACAGTTGTTAAGTGGATCACTGCTGTTGGTAAGTGAGCCACACACGGTTGTTAAGTGGATCTGACTTACCCCATGGACTTTGCTTGCCAGAAGTTCTCAAAAGGGGATCACGTGACACCAGGACCCTGCAACCGTCATAAATATGAGTCAGTTGCCAAGTGTTGGAATTTTGATCAGGACAGCTGGGGTGGTTGTAAGTGTGAAAAAAAGGGCCTGTCACTTTTTCCAGTGGTGGTTGTAAGTCAAGGACAATCTGTGTGTGTGTGTATGTGTACAGACAAAGTTAGATGGAATCTGGGGTGGGTTCCTGCCAGTTCTAACCTCTTCTATAGAAGAAGTTCCATAAATCTACCGTGCTGTTTAGAACCACTTCCAGCTCCCTCCCCCCGCCCGTCCGCACCACGCTTGTCCTGCCCACCGCTCAATGATTGCCTGGCTCACCAATCGCCCCGCCCACCTCTAAGAGTCTTATCTAAACCTTAAAGTCTTAAAGCTGTCAAGTTTGAACACCCCTGGGGTTTTTTTTCCTGAAGGGTTAGGGGTGCAAGGG